ACCTTTCAGTAACATTGGCAAAGCTTTCCTAGGTAGTTTATCTTGGAAGACAGACCAGGATGAAATCTTTACTAGAAGCTTATCATTTCATGGGTCCTCTTTGAGTTTGGAAGATTTGGTGGTGGCTGTTGTTGAAGACAGGCAGGTTTTCATATTACTGGTTTAAAATTCTTTCAGGCTAAAACTATAGCAGCCAAGGTATACGGAGTCAAATATTGTGGCTGCAATCTTTTCTAAAGATTCAAATTTCTATCCAAGAATCTATGTGTACCCCTGTACATAGTTCAAAATGCTTAAACTATATTAAAATCCCTTTTGGAGGAAAAAATTTCTCATAGACCTCATGGTTGACCTAAGTCACTTTTATTAAAATGTAACTTAAATATATATACTCATAAATACCAGTTCTAAACACCTATGCTTTATAGCTTCTATATTATTAAAATGTCAAAACAATGTACAAATAAATACAACTATCAACTCTAAAATATCAAATTAATAAAATTTATTGCAATAGATGTCTTTCACATGTAACAACTCATTAATTCTTATATCACCATGAAATCAGTGCCATATATTTATTCCCATGTTATCATAAACTGAGCAGCAGAGAGGTTGAGTAACTTGCCTAAAATCTCACGGTTAGTAGGCAGAAAAATAATTTTTGAAGTCAGAGAGTCTGATGTCACTTAACCATCAGAACAATTACTCGTCTCTTTTTTTTTTTTTTTTTTTTTTTTGAGACAGAGTGTCGCTCTGTCATCCAGGCTGGAGTGCAGTGGTACAATCTCAGCTCACTGCAACCTCTGCCTTCAGGGTTCAAGTGATTCCCCTGCTTGAGCCTCCTGAGTAGCTGGGATTACATGTGCCCACCACCACACCCAACAAATTTTTGTGTTTTCAGTAGAGACGGGGTTTCACCATGTTGGTCAGGCTGGTCTGGAACTCCTGACCTCAAGTGATCCACCTACCTCGACCTCCCAAAGTGCTGGGATTACAGGTGTGAGCCACTGTGCCTCGCCCTGTCTTTATTTTCTTAGATGTAGGGTGCCTATTGGGGAGTTACTAAATATGCATTAAATGAAGATCTAATTCAAATATTGTTAAAATCCACAACAGCAACTTTTTTGTTGTGTTTTTACTATATCTGCTGCTAATAAATTGCTGCAAACCTGATCCATACAAAGGTAGAACTGGCATGAGATCTTCAGTCCCTGCCAGTACAGCAGTGATCACCAGGAGCTGTACTTTTGGAGTTGGCAAGCTGTGTGTGCCCTATGTGGACTCACTCTCTCTACTATTCAAACTCCCCATCCCTTCACCCGGGCTGTGGCTGGAGCCACCAGGCCTGCCCCTGGCTCAAATGGAAAGATACAAAGGCAAACACAGACTCCAGCATCAGTTTCTGGCTTGCCATCAAGACGATCCAGAACACATTTTTATTGCTAATTATTTATGATTATCACTGGAATAGGTTAGGCATGGTGGCTTATGCCTGCAGTCACAGCTACTCTGGAGGGAGAGGCAGGAGGATCGCTTAAGCCCAGGAGGTCCAGGCTGCAGTGAACTATGATCATGCCACTGCATTCCAGCCTGGGCAACAGAGCGAAACCCCAACTCAAACAGTCTGGGTGACAGAGCAAGACTCCTCAAAAAAACAAAAGATTATCACTGGAATAAAACCACTAATGTTAGAGAATCCTTCAAAATACATACATCTTCAGAACCCCAGGGGCTGAGAGACCTGTGACATGATATCATTAGCTCACACTGAGGGCCATTGTAAAAAACAACCCTATGAAACTTGGCCTTGTGTCTGACAAGGAGGTGATTGGAGGCATCATTTCAAACACTATGTCATATCAGGAAAAAGATCCTCTGTGGTCTCAGAATCAAGAACTGTTGGTCGGGAGCAGTTGGCTGGGAGCCTCTGCCTATCCTAGCACTTTGATAGGCAGAGGCGGGTGAATCATTTGAGGCCAGGAGTTTAAGACCAGCCTGGCCAACATGGCGAAACCCCGTCTCTACTAAAAACACAAAAATTAGCTGGATGTGGTGGCACGTGGCTGTAGTCCCAGCTATTGGGGCAGCTAGGCATAAGAATCACTTGAACCCAGGAGGCGGAGGTTGCAGTGAGCCAAGATCACGCCACTGCCTTCCAGCCTGGGCGACAGAGTAAGACAGTGTTTCAAAAAATATAAAACATAAAAAAGAATTGTGTTTTTATGTTCTGGCTGTGTAACGTTTTGTGTTTTCCCCACACAGCTGTTATCACAATTTATAATTATATATTCATTTGAGAGATTTTTTTTTTTTGAGACGTTGTCTCACTCTGTCATCCGGGCTTGAGTGCAGTGGCGCAATCTCAGCTCACTGCAAACCTCCGCCTTCCGGGTTCAAGCTATTCTCCTGTCTCAGCCTCCTGAGTAGTTGGGACTACAGGGGTGTGCTATGACACCCAGCTAATTTTTTCTATTTTTAGTAGAGATGGGGTTTCATCGTGTTAGTAAGGATGGTCTCAATCTCCTGACCTCATGATCCGCCCACCTCGGCTTCCCAAAGTGCTGGAATTACAGGTGTGAGCCACCTTGCCTGGCCGAGATTTCTTGATGAATGTCCATCTCTTGCATTTGCCTTTAAATGCCCATCAGGGCAGAGACCACATCTATCTGCTTTCTCCCTTTGTTCCCAGACCTCTCACAGAAACTGGCACGTAGTAAGTCCTCACTGAATGTTTGTTGAGTGAAGAACTGTGTGAATGAGTTAACAAATAAAGAATATATATAAGCCATGGGCTGGTCAATTTCTTTTTTGCTTATGTTATAAGGAATTTTAGAGCTGGATTTGTTTCCTGCCCATAGCCAATGCAGAAGGTCTTATGCTCGTGTTTTTGTATCAGCCTCATTCTTAAGACCATTTTATGACTCCACCCTTAGTTTCCTTTTCTTTTTTCCCGTCTACTTCCAAGTTAGGCTGCCTTGCCATATTTATGAATCCCTGTAAACTGTCTTAAATCCCTTTGTGGAACAGGTGGTAATAAATAAATATATCTTATCTACTAAAGCCTTTTTTATATGTATTTAAAATCTGAACACTAAACCCATTGCCAGCAAACACATTTGCTCATCTGTAAACCTTAAGAATAGCTGAGATTTGCTAATTCCATCACTATACTAATATTTAAAACAAATTAAATCCAAACCTAGAAACCACGGCATCTCAAGTCAGGCATAGTTGTACGTTTGTATGTGACAACCACATTTCTAATAATGCTAGGCAATTTGGTGGACAAGAAAGAACATAGGGCTTACTAAAAAATTCTTACGGATTTTGGATCAAAGAATAATTTATCTTTAGTGGTTTTTCAAAATGTGTTGGCATCATACTAATAATGAAAACTTTGCTCTTGCACCCTATGCAGGGAGGAGTGGGGGAGGGAGGCTGGGCAAGATCAGGATCTATAGGAGAAAAGTCTCTACAGAGAAAAGTTTGATCACATCACACAATTAAGGCAGAATATTATAAAGTAAAAATATTAAATGGTCTAACCCCCCCCTTTTAAGTCTCTAACATTATTCATATGCTAATGGAAGTATTATCTGCAAGTCTGTAATGTCATCATTCTCTTCTTTGGTCAGATTCATTCAAAGCACTTTTACTTCAAATGCTACCTAGCTATTTTTCTCTTAAAACAGAACATAACTTTCAAATCCCATTAATGAGAACATCCCTCACCGTACAAGTTAAACATCTCAGAAATCCCCGCTAGATCCACAAACTAGATGTGAAAACAGTTGCTTGTACTTTCTCCAATCCCTGGCTTCCTCCAGGATGCCAGACTAACCACTCCTTTTGAGTTACTCAGAAAGCATGAAACATGCATTTAGGAAACTGAGATTTGATTTCTATTATTGATAAAGCTCATCTGAGTCAGTTGAATCTTAGATGACAAACGGCAAGAGGGAAGAGTGGGTTTAAGGAAACAGATGGATAATAATCGTGTAGTAGAGATAAATGACAGTTTTTAAAAGAATTTGATAGGATGTGGGCGGGAGCTTGCTTTTTTTTAATTCTCTATTGTTATTTCCTATTTTCTATTTTTATTTTTGGGCAGGAGATGGAGATGAGGGGTGAGAAAAGGAAGGAAGAGAAAAGGAAAGACAATAGGCCAGACTGGAGAGCCTGATCTGCATCCTAAAGCAGTCTGCCCCTCCCTCCCTCCCTTCCCCACAACACCAAGTAGGCTTTGGTTGTGATTTCAAAACAAGCAGACACCGACTCCCGCCTCCGGGACCCGGGATGGCCTCCGCCCCGGCTGCAGAAAGGGAGGGAGGGAAGATGGAAGATAGGAGAGGAACAGACTGGCAAGACCCCCTCGGGGACAGTCGGGTTTTTTTTCCCTCCAAAGTGGTGGAGCCTCCTAAAATCCAAACCCACGAGGCCCGCTTACGTGCCTGTTGCCTGGATCTCAAGGTGGGCGGCTGCCGACGCCGCACCTGCTCGGCCCGCCCCTGCGTCTGAGTGCTGCGCCGCCCGCGGGCGATCGCGAGGCCCCGGGGGACGCGCCCAGCCCCGCCAAGCCCGCTCCGCACCGCTCCCGCGGAGGGCGGCGGCCAAGCTGGAAGGGAAGGAAGAGGAGGGGAGGGGACGGGCGGCTCCGCCCGGCGAGGAGAGGCGAAGATTGCCGCCCCTCCTTTCGGACCCAAAAGAAAGCCCCACCTGTCAGTCGTTATGCTCTGGGCGAGGGTCCCACCATCCCTAAGCAGGGGGCAGCGCTGGCAACCCCGATTTCCTAAGCGTCTCCGACGCTACATCATCACCAGAAACCTTGAGGCGCAAAACACACGGCCGCCGGCCAGGGCTGCAGCGCAGACGCGCTCTGCAACAGACGCGCCCCACCTGGGCCAAGCGGCTCCCGCCCCGCCGAGGGGTGCCAGGGTCTCCGCGCCAGGAGACCAGCGACCCCAGGCAGCCCACCAGGCCCGCTCCCCAGACCTTACCTCCTGCGCAGCATCTTAGCCATCTCCGGTCTGCCACTGCGGGTTGGTTTTGTGATTTTATGGGGTTGGGAGGGTGCGCTTAAAAAATCCACCTAGCTAATCTGCAGAGCAGCCTTTTCTGCCCATGCTGCAGCCCGTGCTTGTCAGAGCTGCCGGGAGATCCCACAGCAGTGCAGCGGCTCCGCGGCGGCGGAGAGGATGACGCGCCACGGACGCCGCAGCTCCTTGACAAAAGGCTCTGCTTCCCGCTCGCCCCTCACAGCCCTGCCGTCAGAATTAAAGCCATTTCCCGCACGAGGCTAGGAGGAAATGAGAGCTCTCCCGGCCCTGCGCGCTGACAAAAGGCCGCTGCGCGGTGCCCACAGCGCCCCCTCCAGCGGGCCGCGCCGGCCGCCCGAGGGCCGCGGTGCTGCAGTGACCCCGCCCGCAGCGCCCCCCCACCGCCCCGCAGCGGCCCCGCCCTGCAGCAGCCCCCAACGCCCCGCAGCGCCCCCCACCGCCCCGCAGGGGTTCCACCCCGCAGCGCCCAGCTCCAGGTAGCGCCCCCTCCTGTGCCGCCGCAGATCCCCCGCCAGGCTTCCAGCCCCCTTCCACCCCCGCCCAGCACCGCTCACTGCCCGTGACGACCAGAGCTAAGTAGGGGAGTCTGTTACTAGGGAGAAAATCTGAAGCAGAGCTCCCTTGGGGGAATGTATCCTCCCTGGAAGGAAGAAAGAAAAAGTCTTACACTAGGAGTATTTATTTTCGTCTGGAAAGGACATCTAGCTTTCGGGAGATAATTCTATTAGTGATTTTAACAGCAATTGTTTGACTGAATTCCAAACCAAAATTCTCCCAGTCCTGATTCTCACTCCCTTTTCAACTAGGACAAAAATTTTGTTGTGGCCCCGCCCTTGGGGGCTGTGAGCACAACGCTCTCCAACTGTCACCACATCCTCCTCTCACCCCTTTCCGTCCCCAGTCTCCTGCCTCAGAAGGAACAGGTGTGTTGTGAGTGGGGAACTAGATAGGGAACCAGAACACACCTTGATCAACACACTTAACCTCTCTGGGCCTCGTTGTCTTCCTCTGTAAAATGACAGGGTACCTAAGGCACCTCCCATTTCCAAAACTTTCAAGGGGTGTTAAGAGGTAGCTCTGGACTTTTCACCCCCATTATCTCTACCAGTCCCCAAAACTCCCCTCAATCAACATTCTCTCCAAGGGCTTTTGAAAATGTGCTTGTGAAATGTACCGCTTCCAGAAAAGCCTCTGGCCACTGATCCGAAACCTGATCATGGCCCCTTTGCCCTTCCAGGTTCGGGGGCACCATAGCCCTCAGACGCCCCCACAGACTTCACTGGTCCCCACCACAGTGCTGCTGTGGAACCAGAAGCTGGGGAGGTGGGCTCAGGATTTGGTAATTTTAACAAGCAGCCCTAGCGATTCCATTGCATACCAATGCTTTAGGAACACCACTCTGAGAGATACTACTGATTTAGAAAAAAGGAAAATGCCCATGACAACCCTAAAACAACTGCCAGGCATTCTGTTTCAGGTGCCAGGATAAATTTGTCTTCCTGCTCCAGCACCCCTTCCCTTACAAGAAATATACATGCACACCTGGTCCCTGCACCCTCCTTCCACACTCAGAGCTTCTCACTCATTCTCATTCAGAATTACTGAGTCCATAAGCCCTTTTCCCATTCTTCTGTCAAAACCTGCTAGAAGAAATACAACAAGCTCAGCCACACAAGATGAAACCCCTTCCCTTCCCCACCCCAGGACCTAGGTCTGTCTGGTCAAGGAAGCCAGGAAGTGATGTGTTTATTGAGACACTCCTGGCAGCCATGGCTGTACTGGTGCCAATGGGTGATGAGATCTGAGAAGCAGGGAACCCCTTCTCCAGAGCCCAGAAGTCACAGGTAAAGTGGGCTCTACATCTTATTAGAACCCTCAAGGAGAATGGAGAATTTTTGTTAGAAATAGCATGTTTCATAAGTCATCCCAGTCATTTCCATCCCCCAAAATTTCTCTTCCCAGTGTGTTATTTTGTTTTCTCACACTAATCCTAGCAAACCCTTGTTGGTTCCTGGCACTGTTCTGAGGGCTTTACATGCATTTTCATATAATCCTTACAAGAACTGTGTGAGAGTGGTACTATTATCATCCCAATTTTATAGATGAAGAGACTGAGGCACAGAAATGTTAAGTCACTTGCCCTAGGTCACACAGCTAGTAGGTGGCTGAGCCAGGACTCAAACTCAAAGGCTGTGGCTCCAGAGTTTGTGGGCCCTAACCACTACACTGCATGGCCCTCCAGAGGGGACAAGAAAATAAACATTTTTTTTTCTTTTGAGACAGAGTCTCATTCTGTCACCCAGGCTGGAGTACAATGGCATGATCTCAGCCCACTGCAACCTCTGCCCCCAGGGTTCAAGCAATTCTCCTGCCTCAGCCTCCCGAGTAGCTGGGATTACAGGCATGTACCACGCACCATGGCTAACTTTTTTATTTTTAGTAGACATGGGTTTGCAGCATGTTGGCCAGGCTGGTCTTGAACTCCTGACCTCAGGTAATCCACCCATCTCGGCTCCCAAAGTGCTAGGATTAGAGGCACGAGCCACCACACCCAGCTGAAAATAAACTTTTTTTTTTTTTTTTAGACGGAGTTTCACTCATGTTACCCAGGCTGGAGTGCAATGGCGTGATCTCGGCTCACCGCAACCTCCGCCTCCTGAGTAGCTGGGATTACAGGCACGCACCACCATGCCCAGCTAATTTTTTGTATTTATGGTAGAGACGGGGTTTCACCATGTTGACCAGGATGGTCTCGATCTCTTGACCTCGTGATCCACCCGCCTTGGCCTCCCAAAGTGCTGGGATTACAGGCTTGAGCCACCACGCCTGGCCTGAAAATAAACTTTTTAAAGCAGAACTGGTGCAAGACACTCACAGGCTGATAAGGCTAATACATTTTCCTTTCCCCCGAAAAAAGAATGATTCTGCTTCTCTAGTCATCACAGGAGATATATATATATATGTCCAGCTTCTCCTAGGGTCCATTTGATACTAGCAAACTGAGAAGATGGTGCCATCCTGGGACTTTAGGAATTGTCCAAATGTCAGACAGAAAACAAAACTTCATTAATTCCCACATTCATAGCCTATATGAATTAATTTAGGTTCCAGAAATTCTCACTGAATTTCAAATTCACTTCAAAATCCAAGAAAAGGAACCACAGTTGCAGTTAGCTCCAACTGTCACTGGAAGACTGCGAGACTACAGAGCTCCCACTGCCGCAAGCCCAAGATGCCTGGCCCTTAACTAGGGCCACAAAAACACCAGAGACCCCCATGTCAGACCTGGGAAAATCACAGCTGGCTAACCCTCAATGGCCAGATAGTTTAAAATTGGATTTTCTGACTGATTTGCAGTAAAATTTCTCATCTTCCAAGAATGAGAAAATGTTTCTAGCCAAGAATAACTAGTAGAGAGAGAGGCTGGCAGTGCAACAGACACTGGCAGTGCCCCAGTGAGCCCCACCTCCTGGTATCCATGCCCTGTGTATTTCCCTCTCCTTAGGTGCTGGCACGACTGTGGCTCACTGCTAACCAACAGGATAAGGCAAAGGCAATGGGATGTTCACTTCTGTGATTATATTACATAAGATTCTTTGTCTTACTAGCAGACTCTCTCAGTTGGCTTCTTGACCTGCATGCTTTCATTAGTAGCCATGTTTGGAAGGTCTACATGGCAAGGAACTGAGGGTGACATCCAGCCAATAGCCAGCTGGAAACTGAGACCCTGAGTCCAAAAAAGTCCTAGAGGAAATGAATTCCACTAACATCACATAAGTTTAGAAGCAGATCCTTCCCCAGTTAAGCCTTCCACTGAGAACCCAGCCCTGGCTGACACCTTGATTCCTGCCTTGTGAGGGACACTGAAGCAGAAGATTCAGTTAAGTCATACCCAGACTCAACTCCTGCCCACAGAAACCATGAGATAATAAATGTGTTGTTTTAAGTTGCTTAGTTGTTTTAATTGGTTACACAGCAATAGATAAATAACATGGAGGCTTACTTAGCATTCTATAGGTCCAGGCATACTTATCAATGGCCTTTTCTAGGGCATACTGGAAATTCTGGAGAAATTAACACTTCTGGGATCAGCCCTCAACCAATGACCATTAGGAGTTTGTGGATAAAGAACCTGGCTCACTCGTCCCTGAGAGTTGGGAGAACACCACAATGTTCTCCATTGTCTCTCAGAGAGCCTCAGCAGGCTTGAGCCCCATAGCAGTAATCTACCTGATCACTCACGTGTCTTTTATGGGCTTTTCTTCCCCACTCCCCTACAGGTGCTTCCCTGGCTTGCCTCCCACCTTACACTCAAATCATGATCTCCTTTTAGGAGAACCCACTTTAAGATGGGGCAGGGAAGGGAAGACAGTGCCTTCAAAGGAAGACCACTGATAAATCATAAGTCTCAACATCCTGAAAATACCCAATATATGAAAGTTCACCAAGTCTATGGTTGATGCTGCTCTGGAAAGAGAACTGAATTGGGAGTCCAGGGACTAGGGCTCCAGTCTCAGTCCCAGGGAGTATGTGGACATAGGAAAGACCCTGACCCCTTATTCTCCCTTCCCAGCTATAAAGTGAGGGTAACAGCATTTGCCCTCTGTTATGGGCTGAATCACATCCCTCCTCAAATTTATGTGTTGAAGTTCTAGCCCCCCAGTGCCTCAAAATGTGACTATATTTGGACTTAAGTCCTTTAAAACATTAAGGTAAAATGATGACATATGTGTGGGCCCTAATCCAGTATGATGTCCTTATGAGAAATTTGGACACAAACTGGCATAAAGGGATGACCATATGAGGACACAGCAAGAAGGTGACCATCTACAATGCAGGAAGGAATCATATCTGCCCACACCTTGATCTCAGACTTTGAGCCTCTGGAACTGTAAGACAAGACATTTCTGTTGTTTACCATCACCATTGGGGATGCTTTATTATGGGAGCCCCAGAAAACTAAGTCCTCCAACCACCCAAGGTTGTCATGTAGACAAAATAGGACACCACCAAAAGCACTTATGGTCTTATTACTTACTGAGACAACCAGTGTAACCCTGGCCACACCAGGAAATAACCAGAGTGGTCCCAGAGACAGAGAGGTCCCAGACTGCAGTTCCCACCTTCACATAGGCCCGGACCTAGAGAGCTGTGGGTAGAACCATGTTGAGCCCTGCTAACATGTAAGTCCCTCTAGGGGAGGCTCTCATGGACCCCAATGTTAAGTGCACTAGTTCCTTCTACCAGCCTTTAGGAATCCACAAGAATTTTTTTTTTTTTTTTTGTAATGATCACCACTTGCCCAGCAGGACTTACTGTTCTGGAGTTGTTACTCCTAGAAGTTACTAAAGCTTT